TAGTTCCGCAGTAATAGCGGTAGCGAGGGCATCTCTATAGTAATAGCAGTGCCGATAGTATCTTCTACAGTAATAGCAGTGCCGATATAACGAGGAGATCTCTCTACGAGGTCCCGTAGTAATAACGGTTAGTTCGTAGTAATAACGGTGGTTTATAGTAATAGCGATAGTATCTCTGCAGTAATAGTAGTGTCGATAGGATTCCTCTACCGAAATAATAGATTAAATATCCCATATAGACTTAAATAGCACCTTAAGGTCCTACGCGAGGTCCTTAATTAATAGCTCGTTATTATTAATCCTCTGCCTATTCGTCACTATATAGATATAATATTATTCCCGAGTAACGGGATATATCGCGGCGAGCGTATCTTATACCTAACGATCTATAAAAGCTATCTCGATAACCCTAGTTTATTAGTATCCTATTAGGGTAGTCTTCTAATTAGTAATCTATCTATCTATATCCCTAGGGATAGTCTTTAGCGGCGTTTTAACAAGCTAACGATATTAATGTAAAGCCTTATAGCGTTAATCTATAGGCGTAGGAGCTGCGTGCTTATAAAGAGTGGTAATCCACGCCCTCGTGTTATTTATTTAGTCTCCTAGTAACACTTTAAGGAGGTCGCTAAGAGGGTCGTAAATCGTGTCTAGGATATAGGAGCGTAGGTTATTAAGTTCTTATTGCTAACTATCGTAGTCGGCCTTTTCTTCGCGGTAAACGCGGCGATCTTAAAGGTATCGCGTTCTTTTTTAGTCGGAGAGGTCGTTTATTAACTTAGGAGCCTTAACGCTATTCGCGGCTTCGTACTTACGTATATTAGGTAGTGTGGGCTTAAGTAGCAGGGAGGCTTCTGCTTTATCCTTATCTAGTTAAGGATTAAGGTATTCCTTTTAAAGAGAGGAGAACTTCCCGGGGATACTATATTCCTATATAATCTAATCCTTCTAGGTAATTAGGATCTATTAATCGCGGTGAATATTAGAGGATATCTTCTATTACTTAAGCGAAGAGGTTAATTAAAGAAGAGGTGCTTATACTATAGTTACTTTTATAGTGGAAGGGTAAAAAGGATAGCTTAAAGGTGTAGAAGATATTAAATAGCTTTTAAGCATTGTAAACCGGGCTTATAACTATCGTATGTTAAAATACACTTTTCTAACTCTTGTGACTTAGGGGAAATCTTCGCGTGTATATATTATAGTAAGTTATAACGTGTGCGAGACCGTTTACCCTATTTTTATAAGGGGCAGTACTCTTCCGGAAGTACTGCTTTATTTAGATCCTATCCGGTATTTTACCGTGGGTCCACCCTTATTATTTCCTGATCCCCGAGGCCTGTGCCCACCCCTAAGGCTCGTGTCCACCCCCGAGGCTCGTGCTAATGCGACAAGATTGACCCTAACAACCAATCTGCGCGGTTACAATAGCTTATATTTCCACCTATTAACTTAAATTTTTCATTTTCTTATATAGCGTATACATCAAAAAGAGAATCATAAAAGCCGAGAGCGCTAAAGGCGCCCCACACCACTATCACTGCCTAGGATTAAAACGTCTAAGCCCGTTAAGAGAACGTAGGTGGTTTAATTAAGGGCCTATCTTAGGCGCTAGTACAGATAACTATTTTGCCAGTACAACAGTGGGGCCCACCAAGTATAATAAGCTACCTAAATACTAACATATTTTATATATACACTTCGACTACCTAAATATAAAGATATAGCACCTTTTCCCCTTAATCCATCTATTATTGTATACACCGCTAAGTAAAGGCACTACTAAACTACTAGTAGAAACCACCACTAAAAACCACCACCTAGCGATTATAATAGCCGAAGACTATCCCTATAGCTCCGACCTACTTTCTAGGGTTTATATCTTATATAAGCAGGGCTTTAAAGCCCTACTTACCCACGCCTACTCGAATAGATATAGTCTTATTATAAATAAATAGTATCCCCGTAATATAAATCCGATACGTATCGCGTACTATACGGGAAAGACCGGGCGCCTATAGCTTAAGATACCTAAGCCCACGAGTCGAAGCGCCGGAGGACCGGAACCTAAATAATAGCCTACCCTTTTAAAGTTAACCTACGCTGTCGCGATATGCTTAGGGGGTAGGTTATAAAGGCTATAGTTAAGCGTGGAGGTAGCGGCGAGCTATTAAACTATAACTATAGCTAGTTTAAAGCTAATCCCTCCAATCGATTCCGTACTCGGGGTCTTATAGTATATAAAGATAAGATTATTAGTATATAGAATAGCGGCGTTCGACCCCGCGAGATCGGGATAAAGCTCCGGATCCTAGAATCCTCTTCGGAATCTTCTTCAGGTTAGTAAAAAGATATAGTTCGATAGATTATAAGGTCGGATATCATAGACCTACTTACTCGTTACTGCTAGGAGGAGCTCGCTAGTAGGACTCTAATTTAGTAGCTTTACGAAGTGAGTTTATCTCCTGCCCTTAATACTTAACTATATACTAACTTACTAATAACTTAATACCGAAGATAGCTTCTTTTTTCGCGATTAACGCAATTAACTAGGCCGACTCTAGTATCTCTTTATCGTGCCTAAATCAGTAATCTCCCTTATATAATAAGCCCCCGATATTCTTATTATCGACGTAATCTATAAGACTAGTAAGTTTAAGATACCGCTTCTTAATCTCTATAGGATATCGCCGCTACGTAGATCCTTCTTAATTACGATCGTTTTCCTAGATAACGAAAAGGAGCACTAATATACTTAGGCACTCGAGGCTTTAATAGAGTATCTTTTAAGTAAGGGTTTATAGTTACCGCGATATATTATTATAAACCAGGAGCTTACCTTAATAAATACCCTTAAATCCTATATAACCTTAAGCTCGGTTTCTAATATTCTATACTATTAGTATATTAATATAAATATACTAGTAAAGACTAAAGGCTTTTTTCCTAAGCCTATAAGGCTAGCTAGTAGCAGGGTTAAACTCTACCCTTCGTTTTATGTCTTTTTAAAGGACTAGAACGTATTAATTTTAAGTCTAATAGTCGAGGTATTCACGGATCGAGTCTAAAGTTTCTAGTAATAAGCTAAGCACCCAGAAAACGTAGTTAATTATACCCTAAGTGCTTAGATTAGTCCCTTTAAAGAGAAGAGTATAGATTACTTCTTAAATACTATACCTTATTTAGTAACCGAACTACCTCTATTATAGAGTCTTTATACACTAGCCTTAAGCGGTATCTCTATATCTTTATAGGCAATCTAACCACTATTTTCCGTAGCCTACGGTTATATTAGAGTAACTGACGGGCGGACCTCTTTTTAGAGAGATAACGCCGAGTTAATAAAGTGGAATTCCCTACTAATAGAGTTTTCTTTAGCCTTATTAACTAGTAAATTATTCTATAAGCTCTTAAACGGCTAAAATTCAAGCTTTTAACCCTAGAAAAGGTATATAGAGACTAGTTACCTAGGCCGCCGCTAAGGCCCTCTAGTCCTTATACTATAACGATCTCTTTAGGGTTACCTTGCTAGTATATACTATTTCATTACCGCCGCGATACCGAGCCGATTAGTATAACCTTAATTAATCGGCACTAGTAATAGAATCGTTAAGATATAACTACTAGTACTACGCTTCTGCCTCTAAGCCTTAGGCCCTTAGAGCCGATAACGGTACGCGGAAAAGGCCGGCTAAAAGGCGCTATTAAGATATCTAATACGGGGAAGAAAAAGGGCGAAAGGAAGAATAGTACTAAACGGCTTCCTTTAGCCTTTAAAATCGCGGCTATAGAAGAGTAACGCGATACTATACCACCCTACTACCCTCCCACTACTAACGGCCCCCCCCGTACCCTCCTACTACTAACGGCCCCCCCTGCTCTAACCCTATATAAGGCGGGTATATAGGTTCCTTAGTAGTCTGCCCAAGTTTTCGAGGCTATAGAGTTAATAGATAAGCCTAACCCGGAGGCGTATAATTTAGAGCTTATTTCTGCTACGTTTAAGAGTAAAATAGATACGTTATTAAGGAGCGCTAAATAAGATGCTCTTAGTCGGCAGGAAGATAAAAAAGAGATAGAGGAAATAAAGGCGATGCTATCTATTCTTAGAAAATAGAGTTATCGTGCTAGTTATTATAGTGGTTTAGTTTATATTTACGCTTTAATTAATTCTCCACTACTATATCTTTATATTTAGATACTCGAAGTGTATATATAAAATAGGTGTGTACTTTAGTAGCTTATTATACTTGGCGGGCCCTATCATTTTACTAGTAAAATAGTATTCCTTACTAGCGCCTGAGATAAGCCCTTAATTAACTCTGACAGGTTAGTCGGCAGTTCTGTCAGCTGTCGGCACTTGGACCCCAGTCGGAATAAACGATTGGCCCAGTCGGAATAACCTCACCCCACTTTATACTCCGCCCACCAAACTTGCACCTGCAGTTCAGAGCTACCACGGGAGGCCTTTTGATTCTAAAGAGCAGGCCCATGCCGCTTTTATATGTTAAATGGATTGACGTTATTTGATATGTTGTTGAGGACTTGTTCTGATGGGTATATTTCAAATGTCCGCATATCCTACGACGGTGGACAAGGATCCTATCTACGTTATTCACGGAGTAGGGGGGCCAGATCAGCATCCTGAGAGAAGTCTCTGCCAGTGTCATCGAAGTCTGGCGAGAACTACCGAGGCGCCCACAAATACATCAGTCTACCGCATGGGCGCCCTGGACTTCTCCTTTCTCTTCACCTTAGCAGAGGTCGAGGTCTGGGAAGGCGAGAAGGCAATTGAGTGGTATTTCTGCATGCCTGGCAGTCATTGAGGCAGTCGCCCGTTCGGCCTGGGGAGTTTAGGTGTCCAAGCAGGTAATTAATGCAGTCATGGAAACATAATCATAAATAAATACGAGAGCTCGCCATAAGTCCCATCTACTGAAATGCCATACCTAAATTGTCCCGTCCCGCCTCGGTTGGTGTATCAGATACCAGATACTAAACCATAAGTGTATTACCATCGGCTCCCGCCAGCTTGGCTCCCCTTGGATCAAAAACCGCCCCCAGTGCATACGCGGGATGCTATTCGAAGAGCACTCGCAATACTCCCCGTCTGGCCTGCAGAATGTCGTGCGCAGATTTCCACTGAGACTTGTAAGATCGGAGGGTTGCCCTTCGCTACTCGGGGTGTTCCATCCAATCGTTATAATGACTGCCGTCCAGCTCTTCCACTTTCCAACTATGGTCCTGGCCTCGAAGGAGTTGGAGTTGCGGATCCAAGTAAGCATCGTCGTACATCGGCAACGCTGCTTCGCCCGAAATCAAATGGTGAGGCCATCTTTGGTGATCTCCTAGCAGCGGGTCTCCGTACCCGCCGCCGCCGCTATCACCATATGAATGTCCGTTAGGCTCTGACATTTCCGGGCCTAGTACCGAGCCCAATACTCCATGCGGCGGCCCATGCCCGTACGGGTCCAGTGGCTCGTACCTCTCGTCTATCAAGCCAGCGACATAACCCATTGTAGGCGAGGGTCTCCTGATCACCATGTCCTCCATGAAGCCGGGCGCGTCTTGCCGTTGACGGGCACTCTGTTGGTAGTATTCACCAGGGGGCAGGATATCATGGCCGTAAGAGCCCGGTAAGGACCTCTCCACGTCACTGCAGTGGTACATGTGGTGCGACGACATGGCCGGGGGACTTCCTGCGATGGCCGGGTATGAATGGAAGATGGACGGGGGCGCTTCATGTCGGGTATGATTCGGCCTCTTCGTCTGTCTGTTCTTGGGTACCGCCCGGCCTGTAGCCCAGTCAAAATCGTCCAGGTCACCGTCTTCGGATCGCAGGTTTCGATCTTCTTGCGGTTTGGGCTTGGGCTTCGAGGGCGTAAACTTGTACCCGGGATGGGCTTCCTGGTGGTTCATTCGTTCGATCTTGGCCCACTCATTGAACTGCCCCCGTACGTGCTCTGGCTCAAGTGGCCAACCGCTTCCGCACACTTGTGAGACCATCTGGTGGTTGTTTTGTGTACAGAGGCTCTTAGCTAGGTTCTGATAGGCCTTGCGGTACAACATGAAGGCGTTCATAGGGCGCTTGATCTTGCCAGGCGTTTTGCTCTGCTCGACTTCCCTCATCCGTTCCTCTGCCGGTCTGTTAACATAAGCGTCAATGTCTGCAACAAGGACTTCGGGGTGTTCCTCAGCTAGCTCGCTCAGCGGGATCCGGATTTCATCAATCTTCTTGGTTGCTTTGCTTTTGTCTTTCTTCTTTCGCGGGCTTTGTTTCTCTACACGGGCGCCCCGCGCAGCCAGGGGTTTATTGGTCGACGGTCGTTTCTGGATTGTCAAGCCACTTCGTGTCGTAAGGACATCTGCGCCGCGGGCAGGCGTGGGAGGCGAGGTATCGGGTGTGTTGTACGGCTGTTCAGATACCAGTAAGTTACCCGAATCACTTACTGTCTGTTTACCCACTGGCTTGGATCCCCCCCTGAGCCGGGGGCTTGGGGGGGGGGATTCGCTTACTCGATACCCCGACTCGCCCATGGGATTATATAGTGCTCCTGCTCCTTCGTACCCTGTATGGTACTGCTACCCGATGTCAGTCGATTATAGCAGTGAGGCACGAGGCTACCGCCCCAGATGGCAAGAACAGTGCTGTCTCACCATATGCGCATCGTGAGTTCTCTGGCGGTATGGAGATGGGTTGTTGTAGGGCAGCTCGTGTTGTGGGCCGGGCGTCCCAAGCCTCGACTGCGGGTGTGGCCGCCCCATTGGGGCTGTGTCTGGAGAGAAAGGGCCCCGCGGATATGAAGTTGCCGCGTTATGGCGGATCAAGTGATGAAGGCCCTTCTGGTAAATATCTTCGTTTGAGGGAGCGGGTGAGGGCGGCGCTGCTTGTTCCATTCCAGACAGGAACTGGTCACAGCCGGAGACAGTGCCCAGAAGCGAGGTTGATGGTATGTTATGAGAAGAGGAGAGCTCGACGGGAACAGTAGAGGTCCAGTTTACATAAACCAAAACGTATCTTCGCCTATCGACAGGTTGCTGCTCGTACCAGTGAGACGAAGTCACTGAACTGTCCAAGATAAGGTGGTACTAAGGGGTTGATGCTGGCAGTAATAGGTGAGCTTCGGGGTAGGGTTTTTGGAGTAGGAGTCTGGCCTAGGGTGGTTTCGGGTCGTTGCAACGGAGTGTTGTCTAGCTAAAGAGGGGAGAGCGGTTTTCAGAATTGTTCGAGAAGCATAGGGTGAGAAGGAACAGGAGAAATACGGTGCCACGACTGCAGGTATCGAGGGTTAATAGACTCCGAGGAGGTTGTGGTCGGTGCGGTACCTGCATAGGGAGGGTGGGCAGGGAACAAGGGGACATGGGATGAGAAAGGGATGCAGGAGACTGAACATAGATGGATGGTGGGTGAATGAATGGACAGTTTGTCTCTCACCTGCATGTATCAGTGGTGCAAGGATAGTAATAGACGGGCACGAAGTGTGAAGCTCTTTGCAAGGGGCTGTCTGGACATGGAGCAATGCTGTATGTCATAGCCCGGCACTCCCGAGCCTAGCCACAGCGCCGGGGCAGTGGACAGATGGTAGCCCACGGAATGGGTAGAGACGAGTGTTCTATGAATATCTCCTTATGATGGCAAGCCTATCCCGTTTCCACGGGCCTTGAGCTAACCCCCACCCCAGTTCTGTTCTTTTGTTGTCGCTATTCTCAGTCGTAGTGGAGTCTGGGGGATAAAGCATCTTGGAGAAAGGGGCGGAGATTGTCTTTGTTCCATGTCAGTGGTGTATCTATGAAGAGAGAGAGGAAGTTCCGGCCCATCAAAGGGCTTGGCCTGTTGTCTTTGGCGGTCAACTCACATGCCCTTTTCGCCCACCCTCTCCCAATTACCCAGCCTGGGAAAGTACTTCGTAGTCATGAGTGCAGCCGATGTTGGCTCCAGGCCCACTTCTGCTTCTGCGTTGGGAGGCCATCCAACAGCAGCCGTAATAGACCAGTGGACTGCCGCATCCGGCCATCACTTGCCTGGTCGTCTTGTCACCGACACAGGGATCGATGTTGAAAGGATCCCCACGTAACTGCATAGAAGTTCAATGTATGGGTATCCCTCCAGCCCTACCAGATTCCCCATACCTATTCTATCTATCCCTATCCTGGTTAACTTGCGTCTTGATCCTCTGTTTGATCGTATCCACCCCCGGCGAAGATACGGCTCTGTCCAAATGGCTGTCACTTGCCGAATGAAAGTCAGGCCGGACCGGGAGGTCTGACCTGGGTAGAGTCGTAATTTTGACGCTGTTCTGGCATCGGGAGACCGCAACTTGTTCCGCCAATGAGGAGTTGACGCTGGTGGTGCCACGACAACATAACTGACTGGGTAGACTAGACCCGTTCCCCAGCGGTGTTGAGAGTTCTCTCTAGGCGAGCAGCTTCTATCTTGTCTGTTGAACCCCCCTCCCTTCCCTATCGCTGTCCCTCTTGTCCTGCGTTGCTTTCCACAGTGCGTACTGATAAAAATGGCCACCCTCTCCACCAGTTCACGCATTCAGCCGCTCATCTCACTAATCAGAAGGTAATTTTCAAGAAGAGATAGATTTGCTCCAGATAGTATCCTTCAACAACAAACATACGAAAGTGAAGTAGCAGGAAAAATAGGCTCCTCTCAATATTTGTACTAAGTAGAAGGGAGACGAGGGGCGAAGATGCCCATTCTTCCGGGTCCGGGGGCTAGAGTGGAGGAACGTGAAGTGTGTTTGTTACCTTATGCTGCTGCAATGCCGGAAGCGTTGGTGCACTTCTCTATGATTGGCTTGATTTTTCCCATTCGTACCTACCCGGGAGGGGGGGTTTATAGGTCAGAGCTCGGACAGAGACTTTTGCTCTGACCAGAGCCAGGACAGAGAAATTTCTGTCGACATGATGTTCTAAGACTGTTGACAGACTGACCAGTTATCGGGCTCTGTCCTATACCCCCCTAAACCCGGGTAGGTATGGTGCGCCCCAGCCGGAGCATGCTTAGCTTGACGGGTATGTACGGTACTTCGTAACGTTGTAGCTGGAGTAGGTACGCCTATTCATACGTAGAGGTACCTACCTTAGGTACCTAGACACATGGTCACTAAGGTACCTTAAGGTAAGATAGGTACCTAAGGTACTTAAGGTAATGTACCCAAGGAAGTGACTGTTATTGGTGTTAGCACAAGATACATCTGATATGTCATACGCACTCCGTAGGTAAGTCCCCACCCCGGCTTTTGGCCTTTTGGAACACCACTTACACCAAAAAAGTGCTTTTTCGACCCCTGCTATTTTATTTAATAAAATAGTAAATATTAAAAAGATAAAACCCTATATAGATAAAAAGTCAAGTACTGATATTCTGTTTATAGTTTATATATAGGTCTAGTAAGACCACCACGGCACCACAGGGGGACACTTATAGCAGCGATATCGTTGCCACCGGCGGCCTTCACCGCTATATACGCCTTATAGAGATCCATGGAACGCTATTACTGCTTTTTAGTAGCGGAGGGGACCTATTAAGACGATTAGAATACGCCACTACGGCACACCTATAACACCACGACGGCACTAGCACGACTTATATCCTTATATAGATGCTGGCTATTAGCATATTAAAAACAGGCTATACTAGTTCCTATAGTATTAGAGCAAGCCTCCACGTCGTTTACGTAGGTGCCTAAGCGCTTACTATAACGTATATAATTACCCTAAATCAGCCACTACGGCACCGTATCAACACTACTAGAGCTTATATACGGTATAAACCAGATTAAGCCTTTCTTATAACGGTTACAATATTTATTAGTATTAGCGTTATTACTAGGAGAAGATATCTACGACTATTAGTATACTACCGCGGACGTATTACTACGCTATAAAGAAAAACTTATATTAAACTACTACTACTAATTACTTATATATATATATAGATTAATACTATACTGTATAATTAACCCTATACTACTACGCTACTATAAGGCTACCGCGAGACACTTATAGTAAAATTATAATAGGAATATACTAAGAAAACTAAAGGGGTTTACTAGTTAGTATAAGCCGTAACGATAAACCTATAGGACCGTAAGCGGGAATAGATTAGGAGGAAACCCTATAATAAACTCATTAGCATTATAGGAGGAAGAGGGAGGTTTAAGGCATAATCCTTAAGGGACGCAGGGAGACCGAGGCTAAAGAGCCGTAGCCGCCGTATAGCGGAAGCGCGGTAGCGCCCCCTTAGCCCCCCGCTCCACCGATAAAGATTAGCTTAGGCTAACTTACCTAACTACTAGCCTACTATACTTCCCGTTAGCTATTAGCCTAGAGGTAAGATCTAGATACGTAATAGGGAAGAACCGGGGCTATATCGGCCCCGTAGCGGCACCTCTCTACCTAAGGAAGTGTATAGAGGTTTTTTACCCGGGTTTTCCCCTCTATAGCTACCCGAGAAGGACCGTATAGCCTAGGAAGGCTCCTATGGATTAGTTAGGATAGCGGAGTAAGATTAATAATAATAATAATAATAATACGTCTAGTAAAAGAGCTATAATATAGCTTAGAAGTTAGGACTTGATTATTTACGTATTTTAGTATATGTTTTCTTAGTAACGTAGAATATAACTAAGAATATTCATAATAGATCCGTATTACTCGTGAAAACTATTAATATTAATATTAATATTACTATTATTATTATTATTATTATTATTACTAATAATATCCTTAATATCCTTTAAGTATATCCTTCGTACTCGAACAAAGGATATCTTCCCCGTAAGCCTAGACCATTCTCTTTCGAGTTAGTTCATCTAATACGAGTCAGACAAAGGATACAAAGGATTACGATATTACTACGATATCGATCTTTATTATAATACTATTCCGATATCGATCCTTTTACCAAGAATAAAGGATATTAACCCGTTCCCTCGGTTCGGTTCCTTCCTTTCTTTGTTCTTTATTCTTAATCCTTGATCCTTTATCTTAATCCCTTTTTCGATCCGATAAAGACAATACGCGCGCAGAGATCCTACCTTACAATCCCATTATTACCTTCTTATGTTTTCCACTGCTTTTCGTGACTTTCATCCCTTCCGCTTATCCGCTATCGTCAGATATCTTCAAAAAAAACTATAACTTAAATATCGGGAAATAGCGTAAAATTCATAGATACTACTATAGAAACCTTATAAAAAAGTATTCAGTATTCGAGAAGAGTTTAAGTAATACGTATAAGCCTATTTAAAGATTTAGTAGGGGAAGTCTACTTTTGGTTATATTATAGAAACTAGAATATATAGTACTAGATAGGTTATAAAGATATGTAGTATAGAATTCGGCCTTACTTCTGGTACTTATGTTATAACTATATCTATATCTGTTAATTTATGGTTAATATATTTCTATTTGTTAATGATTCCTTATATAGTATATATTAACACTAATAAAATTAAATCTCTAACTTCTAAGCTATAGTATAGCTCTTCTACTATACCTATATCAAAAATATTAACAGAATATCAGTACTTGAACTTTTATCTATATAGAGTTTTATTTTTATAATATTTACTATTTTATTAAATAAAATAGCAGGAGTCGAAAAAGCACTTTTTTAGTGTAAGTGGTGTTCTAGAAGGGGGGGTGTTCCAAAAGCCGGAGTGTGGACTTACTGTATACTTCTTGCTTTATAAGGTACAGTTGATGCTTAAGGTACCGTAAAGACTCAACAAATTCGTCTAAGGCTCCTTTCTGCTTACGTCAAAAATACCCACTTCTCCACACAGACTAAATCGATCCTAAATTGTGTATCCCGGTAACCCTCTATTAATAATCGACTACCTTATAAAATTCCTTAGTTTTATTAGTCGATTCAAAATAAGGTCGTAATCGGTGGGGCGCCAAGTTTTCGGCCTTAGACGAATTTGTTGAGTCTTTACGGTAATCAAATCATGACAAATGTATGGTTACTGTTGGTTGGGGATCTGTCCCCTATATATAAGGTACCTTGGCA